CGGTCAATTTTGCCCGCTCTATGTATGCTAGCCAGCAACACCGGAGCTTACGTACATTATACAAACATGGCTTAGATGATAGATGCGCTAAACTGAGTATTTATTTTGTTTTTGAACGTTTCAGCTATTTCTGTTTACAGTTCTGTTTCAACATCATTTAATACGTTTGTTAAAACATGTTGCTCTCTTTTTTGATGTGAAAATTATTTATTTAATTAAATTAAAAAGCAATGTTAATTTTGTTCAAAATGTGTTTAGTTTAATTTAATAATATTATATGTATTTTGATCAAGTATTCATCTTTATTGTCTTCATTGGTATTAGTTTCCACATGCCTAAAACAACCTCAAGCTAAATTCTAAAAGTTGATGGCCCTATAAATCAGAGCGTTTGAGAAATTGTGCAAGGCAATAATAGTCCAAATAGTCATTAACGTTTAATAATCGATAGATTAATCGATTATCAAATAGTCGTTTGTTGCAGCGCCTAATTGTGGTGGCGCCGAGCGGAGGTTTGAGAGAGACCTACGTGTATTGTTGTTTTTAGCATCCGGGTTGCCCTAGCTAGCTGCGCATAAGGATATAAGAGCCGTTTAAATGAAACAGAGGAGGACATTCGGCCGAAAACTGCGCGAGGAGCACTTGACTTTATGCATGGTAGCCAGACGGTGGGACATTGTACGAAAAGTCAGCAAACTCACAGATAGTGCGCGCAACATGATTGCAGCGTCCAGGCCGGCTCCCGCTCGAGCATATGCCTTGAGTTACACATAGCCCAACGATCCATCACAGTAGCCTCATCCCAATACCCCTCCTCGACTCCTCTCTTCCCCTCCTCCGGGGACTTGACCCGGAAATCGATCAAGACACGCCATTTTGAAGCGACGTCCCAATAGCTGAAATGCACACGGAGGAGTCGAGGAGGGGTGAGGGAGGAGGGGTACGGGGAGAGAGCGAAAAGGGAGGATTACACGCGAGCAGACTACTCGGAAGTGTTTTCACTACTCGCGTATAAAAGCCCCGCCCCCACTTCACAGCTGGTCGATTCTCAACAGAGGGAAACCGACAACTGAAGATGAGTTGGAAAGCGTCACATAAGTGCTCACACTCCGTGGGAATTTATTATGTGGCATTTCATTTCTAAAAGGCTTCACATTACTATAATTATATTTTTATTTAAATGTAGGGCTACATTTTACACCAAAACGGAACACAAAAGCAGACCAACCATCATACATTGAATTCCTTGACTAACAAGGAGAAAGATTAATTCATTAAAATAAAATTTAACCAGAAATGGGGCCGGTTCTAAGGGGTTATTCAGTAAGCCCGATGAGAGGGGATACAGCTGTGCGCATGTCATCATTAACAGACGTCGTGTAAGATGAGTGACGTTTGAGGTGAACGAGGACATCCCAATTAATACCTGAGGAACTCCTCTGTCCTCGCGTCACCTCCTCGTGTCTCTCGGCTCGCATCTTACGGACGGCGGAGCTAAGATGCAAGGAAGGGAAAGGAACGCAGACAGACAGACAGACAGACAGACAGACAGACAGACAGACAGACAGACAGACAGACAGACAGACAGACGACCAGACAGACAGACAGACAGACAGACAGAACAGACAGACAGAACAGACGACAGACAGACAGACAGACAGACAGACAGACAGACAGACAGGACAGACAGACAGAGCAGACAGACAGACAGACAGACAGACAGACAGACAGACGACAGACAGACAGACGACAGACAGACAGGACAGACAGACAGACAGACAGACAGACAGACAGGACAGACAGACAGACAGACAGACAGACAGACAGACAGACAGACAGACAGACAGACAGACAGACAGACAGACAGACAGACAGACAGGACAGACAGACAGACAGACAGACAGACAGACAGACAGACAGACGAGGACGGACAGACAGACAGACAGACAGGAGACAGACAGACAGACAGACAGCACACACACACACACCACACAACACACACACACACCACACAACACACACACACACACACACACACACACACACACACACACACACACCACACACACACACACACACACACACACACACACACACACACACACACACACACACACACACACACACACACACACACCACACACACACACACACACACACACACACAGTTATCTTGTTATTGTATGAGAGGAGAGGTTCCAGGTTGAATTGAGGCGAATATTTGTAATGTTCAGAGGTTGTTCTGTTTAATATTCATGAGAATATTTGTCATTGATCAAATGATAATAAACAAACATTTGCATAAAGCATATTTGTCCACTCATATGTTGATAAGAGTATTATAAACTTGAAAAATATCCCTCTAAGGAACAGATACAAAATGTGTGATTAATTTGCGATTAATCGCGATTAACTATGGACAATCATGCGATTAATCGAGATTAAATATTTTAATCGACTGACAGCCCTAGTATTTTTTCAAAAAAGCAGTTAGGCCTACTGGTATACGATCAAAACTGGTATCTAAAGGGTTAATTGTGTATCGTGATTAATTAAATCATTATGTAAATTAAACACTTCATGAAAAAATTGAGGACGAAATTAGAAAAATATTGATCCGTCATCATTTGCAGTTCAAATACAAATCTTTTATGTTAACATTCCCAATGTTACTTTTAACAGGGCATTAAGTGCAAATTGAAATTGTTTACAAAATATGAAAATATATGAAAAGATTATACAGATAATACAAAAGAGGACCAATTTTCTCAATGGCTGCCTACTCCACTCTCCCCCATCTAATAGAAGTTTCCAAAGATTTTCAAAATCATGGTTTTTGGTCACAATTTTTCACAATCTTGGAAACTGTGCGAAATACTCGATCAGTAGTCAAGAAGTGATCCCTCTGCATATCTGAAGTCAATGTTTCCATTCTTTTTTCTTTTGCTGTTTCCATGGTTTTCTCAGCTGCTTGATGATAGTATGACATTCTATGCTTGTGCATCTTCTTCCGAAGAGACTGCAGCTGTGCTGCTCTGGTTGCACCATAGGCTGTCACTTTAACTTTAGACCACTCGTCAGCAATATGCACCTGGCTCCCACCAGCCTTTGGCCCAACTGCTTTTATCTTCTGGCAGGTTAGACAACCAAGTTTTTTGTTTTGGCATATTAGCCATGGGTATTGCTTAGTTTTCTGTCTAAACATGTTAGATGTCCAGCATTCAGGGATATCTTGATCATTATTGCTCTCTCCCTGGTAACTTGGGCCGTCAGAATGGGATGCTTGTTTTTTCGGCACTATCTTCTTCAGCACTATCTTGCCCTGCTGCTGCTTCCTCCTCTCTTCTTCTTTCCACTACAAAAACAAAAAACGATAATAAAACTAATTTGCCATAATGAGCTGTATTAGGCCAATTGAAAAATAATAGTGTCTTAACCCAACATGTAGAATTAAGAATTATCAAACCTGTTCCTCCTCCAGCTCTTCGCTCTCCTGCTGTTTCATGTCCTGCTTCCTGGCCATAGTTGTCCTCTATTACCTCATTCACACCAACGGTGTTTCAGGGCCGGTTCGGAGCTGGAGCTTGAAAAGCATCGGGTTTTCCTGTTCACACCGCAGCGGAGCGGCCCTTAGCTCCGGAATCCGGTTCGTTTCAAGCACCCAAAAATTGTCCGGCTAGAGCAAAAGCACCGCATACGTCAAGCTTAGGTCGAGGCGGGGGCAGGAGCAGGCGCGGGATCAACTCCTAAACAACAACAAAAAGCCCACGTTTTATCCAGTTTGTACACAACGATGGAGAAACTTAACAAGGGGGGGCAGAGATAGGTCAAATCCACCCAAATGACCACAGAAGTGTTTTTTTTGTGCTAAATCTCTCTAAAAAGGTCAAATTTCACTTGTTTTGCTTCAATCTTGATATTTATTATATGTTGTAGTTAAGCTTTTAGTCTTCCATCCCATCATTCAAGGGTGGTTTTCACTGTAAGTAATTTTTATTTTGTTGGACGGACGCAATAATTAACATTTTTTTACTGTGTTCAATCTGAATTTACTTTAAAATAAAAACTAGGGCCGGGACTTTAACGCGTTAATTAAGATTAATTAATTACACAAAAATTAACGCGTTAAAAATCTTTGGAGGGAGTTGAAAGTCTGTGTTGCCCAGCGACAGCCCCAAAACATCACTGCTCTAGAGGAGATCTGCATGGAATGGGCCAAAATACCAGCAACAGTGTGTGAAAACCTTGTGAAGACTTACAGAAAACGTTTGACCTCTGTCATTGCCAACAAAGGGTATATAACAAAGTATTGAGATGAACTTTTGTTATTGACCAAATACTTATTTTCCACCATAATTTGCAAATAAAGTCTTTAAAAATCAGACAATGTGATTTTTTGGATTTTTTTCTTCTAATTTTGTTCTCTCATAGTTGAGGTATACCTAGGATGAAAATTACAGGCCTCTCATCTTTTTAAGTGGGAGAACCTGCACAATTGGTGGCTGACTAAATACTTTTTTGCCCCACTGTATATCTTTTTTTATTTCTAGAATTCTGCTTTCTTTTGAAAAAAAAAGAAGGAACATTGCAAAATGAAGATAAGATAAACTTTTGTTGATTCCTGTAGGGAAATTAAACAGCAATGTTTCTTCCAAGAGATCATGACCCGGTTACTCAAGATAATCCACAGGCCTTCTGAGCAGTTTCAAGTAGGAACTACTTTCTTCTTGCAAGCTACACCCACCAACCATATCAGCGCACAAAGTAAAATATGAATGACTCAACTCATGGACTTATTTGAAGTATTTTTTGGACTGCACAAAACCTCACATACCCATGAGTGTCTTCTCCTGTATGAATAGACAGTGCTGCTAACCATGAAGGTTAATGTAAAGACACCTTTTAGCTAAGTTTGCTGCATAAATGTGTGCAGCTAAGGTGGCTGAATACCAAAATGATGGAGATATCGCTCTCCGTTATGGAACTTTATCAAGCTCTTACTAGTAAAGTGAGAAAATACATCCACAGCTCTGGGAGTGCTGCTCTTGATCCGAATGTCACATGCACACGCCTATCCATGCACACACTCACACTCTATAGTTTTGACATGAGAAATGGCCTGATCGCTGGGTTCCTGCATTATAGAAGAGATACCTTGATAAGTAAATTATTCAATGCCACTGTAGAAGTGGTGTTATGCAACAGAGACGAAACCAGCTTGACAATCTGACTGAGAAAAAGGTTTTCTCCTGAACTGACTAGCATGCAAGGAGAGGATGGCACACACGCACCTATATACAGTATGTATGTATAGTTGAAGTAGCTTTGGGTCACTGGAATTGGTCACTGAAGTCAGAATCTCCTTGTTGTGAGTCCTTCATCGTTCAGGATGTTTTTATCGTAAGAGAAATTAACTGCTCAACAGATGTCTGATGGCTAAGATTTTAATTGTGGTAAAATATGAAGTTAAAACCGACTTAAATGAAAAATGTTAATTGTAAAAAGGTGTAAGAAAAGGTATGAAAAGTCAGTTTCTGACAGATTAAGGCATAAAACTAAAACGCTGACGGGTACACAAAAGGGAGGCGACCAAGTCAAACGAACAGTAACCCTGTTTTTGTACACATGTTACATATAATACTTCAAATGAATCTACAAAGAAGAACAGCCGTATTACCTGCCGTCGTGGAGGTAGAGCGGCGGCGGGGGGCCGGAGGGCTGGCTGACCGGGCTCTGCTGGGATCCAGCCGGCGCAGGCTGGGAGGCTGCTGGTGCGGGGGGGCCACTCACGGTTTGTCCGGGCTGAGCTGGTGTCTGGCCGGGCTGGATGGTTATCTGACCTGCCTGGAGGGCTGTCTGGCCGGGCTGGGGGCTTCCTGGGCCGGGCTGGGCTACAGGGCTGGGCTGGGTCTGGGGGCTGTGTTTCTGGGTCATGGGGCTCTGCTTCTCTGAGCCGGGGCCAGAATGGGCTCCTGTGATGGAGATGAGACAAGATTTGTTCTGTTAACGTTTTGAGGAGAGTAAAAAAACTCATTTGACAAAGAAAATGTGCTCAGGATTCAGAAGACTGCAGAACTTTCTGAAATGTATTTGAGAAAACTACTGAATTATCTTCTGTATAACCTGAAAGGGCCTTACAACTTTTTTTGCTAAAATCAGAACAGACAACCCTTTGGTTCTGGATTATGTTCAAGTGTCACCATAAACAAAACACTTGGAGAAAGCTCCTTTCTGACATTGTGCTCCTTTCAGGATTACTATGTGAACCTGCCTAAGAAGATACATTTTGTCTGTCATTTGCAGTTTTCTTCTATGAAGGGGAAAACAAAACAAGCTGCCACATAAAACTGAAGTCACAGTATTTGTTTTCATGTCACACACAGACACTCACCCTCTTCTGGTATGATGTGCAGCGTGACAGTAAGCCCAGCATCTTTAATGAGCTTCACAATGTCTGCGTGCGGCATGCTGATGATGGACTGTCCGTTCACCGCCAGGATCCGGTCGCCCACCTTCAGCTTCCCACATCGATCCGCAGGGCTGCCCTCGATGATGCGGCCTATTTTATGGGGCACCGCTGGAAAGAGGCATAACAAGGTGGTTCTTAATGTCTATTTGGAAGAAACATTTAAAAACGGCACTAATAAAAAAGCTATTTTGAAGTGGAGAGAATAACATGGATTGTGCTACAACAAGAGCCTCGCCTGGCATTAACAGTTTCAATCATTACATTTCGAAATGTTATTAATCCAGATAAAGCAATGCCACTAAACAGAAACATTTACATTGTTTAAATCTGCTATGAAACGTACCTTTAAAGATCTTAATCACTGTTTTAGGGCAATAACATCTTCACAAAACATGTTTTTGTGTTTCATGTTTTTTTAGAGATAAAAAAATTGAAGAAAACTGAATATTTCCACTTAAGTATAAAACCTTTCTGGTCCCACAAGCAGAGAAGAGCCTTAGGGACTGGTGAACATGCACATGTACACTCTGAACTAATGTTTGATATTATAATGACTACTGTGAACTAAATACACCATAATAATGTTCAATTATAAATTCTTCAGCGTGCAATGAGACTGGTTCAAGAATCCCATCTTCTGTTAAAAGATACCACCTCTCTTTAGTGTAACCATACAGTATATTTAGAAGATAAAACTTAAGACTTTTAAATACTCTTTCGACCCCAGCCAATAAAAGTTATGAAGCTTTTGGAAGGTATAAGTAAAATCACTCTAGCAAACTAATTGTTAAGGGGCATGAAGCCCACTGGTTATTAGTGGATCAGATAAGATGGATATTATACTTCTGAGCCTGTTTTTGAGGGAACGGGCCTTGTCTGGTAAAAATGTAATAGTTTATAAATCCATTTAAATATTTTGTAATGATATTATACTTAGATTGAGACAGTAGCAAAATCTCATAAACAGTCACTCTAGGAAAGTCACCAGCCTCAGGATTCTAAGTTATCTGGATTTATAAAATCACCATTGGCCCTCAGTAACAGCCTTTAAGGCTCCAGAAAGAAACCACTCACTGATGACGGAGGCGTTCTCCGGTCTGTTTAGGGAGCTGATGATGACGAAGCCGAAGCCCTCGTTCTCCTTGCGGTGAATAACCACATCACTGGTTTGCAGGGCGGATCCCTCTGGAGGAGAGGTGGCAGCTGGGACGGCTAAAGCTGGAGGGCCCGAAGCTGAGGCTGCGTCGCTTCGTGGAGAGCTGTGTTGGGTCGACACAGAGCCGGGGCTGCGGCCGTTCACAGGACACAGCTCACCTGGAGGAGTCAAAGCAACAGCTACCATGAAACATTATCAATTTGCTCTCGATGGCTGTTAATTTATTAAAGCTTTTTAATATAAAGCAGCCCAAGATGTAGCTGCTGGAGACATTCCAGCTCTGCAGAATATATTGCATGCAACCGTGCCAAAGACAAATTTAGCCTTGGCATTTGCTATGTACAATAAATGTTATACTGTACTGAAGGATCAGACACTCTGTGGGTTTCCTGCTCTGTTAACCGACCTCCTTATCCTTGTGTGGTTGGTCAAAACGCTAACTTTTTTTACAAAACAGGCTCATATGATGGGAAAATATAGAAGTTTATGCAAATGTTTTTTAGGGCTCTACCTACCCCACAACCGGGTTGCCCCCTTCAGAGTCTGACTGAAGATTTTGCCCCGGCCTTGATATGTATGATCTACTACCACAGAAAATATGTGTGGGTGAGAAGTACACACTGATCCTGCACACAGATTGTCAGCATGTGTGTTCTGTCCAAGTTCTCTTTTTTTTAATTTGGTGCCAGTGAAATCTCCAGCATGTTCTCCAAGTCTCGGTTAAGTGTGAAATAAACAAACAAAACAAAAATATAAAACATGTCCTCACCAGGCATTTGCACTCTCCTTCTCACAGTCAAGCTGACTTGACCATTGCGAGCGGCTGCGTGCATCAAGTCTATAACGTATTTGTGTGGTTTCCCAGCAACCACATTTTTATCCACAGAAATGAGCTCATCCCCAGGTCGCAGCCGCCCATCGCGCTCAGCGGGAGTGTTCTCTATGATAGCGCCAATAACAATCTGTTCAAAGACAATCAATATTAGCAGCATAGATGAAGGTGAAGAGAATGGAACACAGTGGAATCGCTCAGTAATTGCTTTACCCAGGCTGGATCTAGTTTTATATCATGGTAACATCTTTCCACCTTGCTTTTATTCTCCTTCTACATTTACAAGGATCATAGTTATATCTCTCACAGGCTCCGCCCTCTACTGGACTCTATGGGTACTACCTTATCATGCGAGCATTCACCTATTGAGAATTCTATAGACGTAGCCGGCCCCGGGGCGGGCCTACCTGAATGCGTGCACAAGCCTACCGTATATAACGCGGCCACGCCTCCCTTTCCCGTCATCCCTTTCTCTTCAGCGAGCAACAACGGAAGCAGAGAAAGACGTTTGAAGAAGAAAGAGTTATTATACCTCCATGGAGTCGTCACTTCTAGAGACCCGGGCCTGTCCTTCGTGCCCTGGCTGAAATGGCGGGCGCCGATCCCCACCACCTCTGCTTCGAGTGTTTGGGGGACCAGCATGTGGCCGAGGCGGTGCCATTCACGTTCGCCATTCCAACGGGGCGGATGGCTCTGTTTGCCGTTGTCGGGCACTTCCGGGTCCGGCGTCCATGGAAGTCCACGGCCCAGGGCTGTACTTCCCCCTAGGTGATAATCATGGCGGCGGAGCGGGTGTGTTGGGCATCTCGCTCATTGCTAGATATGCCCCCACCTCACCAGATCAGAGCGATTATTTGGCAAGGCCGAATTAGTAGCTTGGTCTGCGGTGTGGCCGCCGCCGTTGCCTGCCGTGTGATGTCCCG